AGCGGGGGGCCCAGGCCCGGAGCGTCCGCAGGCCAGGGTCCGGCCGGCGCCCGGTGTCTAATGACCGGTAATAGCTCACGCGTAAGACGGAATATCCCAAAGGGACATAAATAACGTACGTTTGTGAGTAGCAGAAACCAACGTAACTCAATATGGCTGTCCGCTTAACACCCATGAAGGCACAATTGCAATCCAAATTTTTCAACATTGATTTTCTTCTCCTTGGTTTTTAAAAATTAAATTTTTAAAATCACAATTGGCACAGGTAATGCGAGAAGGCCTGTATCTTTAAACGAAGTGAAACAGCGCACAAGTCAGCCCTCAGAACTGAGTGACCCGAGGGGGCTTCCTCAGGCTCAGCAGGTGTCTGAGGCGCCATCTTGTCACTCCCTGGGGGCAGATCCCAGGCAGCAGAGACAGGCTGGCCTCGCCCGCGGGGCCCAAAGCCGGGCAGGGAGCAGCCTGCACGCCTGAGGAGAGGAGGCAGCTCGCAAGCAACGCCAGAAATGTTTAAATGCCAGCGTAGAGTCGTTCATCGATGACACTGGACTCGAGGAGAGCTGGGACTCCCTGCTCTTCAGTGTCTGACAGCGTGTAAGGACAGATGAAAGGAAGAAATTTTGCATAATGAGGGTGGTGAAACACTGGAACAGGTCTCCCAGAGAGGCTGTAGATGCCCCATCCCTGGAAACATTCCAGGTCAGGTTGGACGGGGCTCTGAACAACCTGGTCTAGCTGACGATGTCCCTGCTCACTGCAGGGGGTGTTAGACTAGAAGGCCTCTAAAGGTCCCTTCCAACCGAAACTTCTATGATTCTATGATATGAAGAGGTGGTTAAACACAGGTATCTTTGCACCAAAAAAGGGAGAGCTGCAGGCACTGGAAAAAAATTTGTGTCCCATGAGTGCATACTTACATACTTAAGTACCCACATCTCTCTATCTAATGTTGCATGCCCCTTCTGTGTTTTGTTAAACAATCCAAAAAGGCAAGATCTGATACAAAAAGGAGATTTAAAAATTATCTAGAAGTAGCAGTGGAACCCCACCTCTTTGACAATTCTGCATCCAGGATCCAGCCCAGCACTATCAGATCCCCTTTCCAAAATTATCCTGTGCCTGCCTCTAGTGATGCTGAATGCAGACTTAGTGCCTCAGATGATCTTTGTCATAACAGGAGCAGACCAGTAGCCCAGAGCTGAAACCGGTTAGCATTTCTGTCCACACTTTTGACTATTATTTGGCCCTGCTGACAATGAGACACAATTTGCGCTTCATAGCAACATAAGCAACTGCAGCTTGAAAGGTGCAGCCCGCTTACCATTGTGAAGCAGTCTGCAGCATTTACTGCAAAGCTAACAAGCCAGGCAGGAGGGATAAATTACAAATCATGAACATGTGCGAATCAAGTGCATGTGGGGTAGGGGCATAAGCTCTTCTGGTGCCACATTCTACCTCAACTGTCTGTAAAATAATCAAACAAAAAATCTAGTAAGAAAACTATCAGTCAGCAACTGATCTTCAGAAATTTACAAAGGTCCCCAAATCATTCTTTACAAATCATTAAGAGATATCAAGATAAGGGTAATGTTATCCCCTTGGCCACTGTTCTCCCTTCTCTGCTTGTGTACCTACTTTCATAAAACTTGCATCTTTGAATGCTGCTCCTTATCTGCAGTTTTAGCTAAAATCTGCCAGTGAAATCAAAACTTCTCGTGAAAATGAGACAGAACATGGCAGCGTGTATCTTACTTTCCTAGGAAACTAGTTTACAAAATAATCATATGGAGCTCATGTTTGAGATTTAGTTTTGGGCTGAAATAAAACTTGCATCTTTGAATGCTGCTCCTTATCTGCAGTTTTAGCTAAAATCTGCCAGTGAAATCAAAACTTCTCGTGAAAATGAGACAGAACATGGCAGCGTGTATCTTACTTTCCTAGGAAACTAGTTTACAAAATAATCAGAGAAACCAAACGTCAAACCACTATGAAGGCTTATACTCCTATGTCTGAACAAGAACTCTTGCTAAGAGTGGGGTTTTGTGAGGCAGGCCCACAAAAGCAATGGAAACAAGCAGAATTAACTTCCCATCTGAGCCTTGCAAATACTTATAAATTGTCTCTTGATTTACTCCATATTCACTTTAATTCTATTGCTGGCGTTGCACGTCTTTTCAGAGAACAGGAACTGAGTGATGACACATTGCAAACTGCAGTAATAGAGGAAAATAAAAGGAAATGGCAGGGTGGCTGCCTCAAGATGCTTTCCTGCCATCTTCTGGGCTTTCTTGGTAACGACAAGGAAGAAAGGTCTCAGTTCACAACCTAGTGTGCCCTAACAAGAAAACATGCACGTTTGCCACAGTATATGCATACTGTGGCTCTTAAAAGCAAGACTGTCACATTCTTGATTCAGCTCAGCAAGGCAGACTAAGCAATGAGAGAGAAGTTAGTAAGTGAAATACAGTGTCTTGGGCAGAGTCGGGTCGGAACAGCCACACACACAAGCTGCTCACTGGGATGATGAAGAAATAAATACATGATCCTTGCGACACTCCAAAACATTCTGGAAGCAATCGTTACCTTTCAGGGAGAACTTGCAAAGATGAAACACCATCACACTTCAGCCTATCACAGTCACATAGAACATGGAATATAACATTATTCCCACCACAGAAATCAAAACGGGCATAGCCTACTGTTTGCCTGCAGATGAACACTGAACGTGCCCTTTGCAAATGAAGACATTTGGTTCTGCAAGTAGGTGTCTCTGACATTAAATGCCAACTGCTGTGGACAGGTGATCTCTGCTATGCCCTGTTCCTAAAAAGGAGACTGCAACATTATAATTACACCACACACTACTGAAAGATTCAGGAGTTCTAAAGTGAATCAAATAAAGGAACATACATTACACTTGATTTATCTTTTATTTTATCCCCATAATACACTTTCCTTCTTGACATTTCAGTTAGCACATTTATTTAAAAAATGCAACATTAGATTTTATCTGAAGATTGCTGCTGCCAGTTTTTGCTGGTGAATTAATGTGTTCATCTCTATTTGCAGAAAGTCACATGAGTAATGGAGACTATGAAGAGAGTGATCCTTCAAAATGCAGAATTTAGTAGTCACAGAAAAGGCTACAGAACACTTGAAGTTAATTTTCAACAACCAAAAAATCAATTAGTTTTAAAAATATGAAAAAAATCAGGAGAAAGACAAGCAACTGAAACAAGACCTAGCTTTTTCCGAAATAAGGAAAAGCTTGTTTATCATTTACACCACATGCAACAGAATAATTTATTTTACCTTTTCAGTGAAATGAACTTCCAAGATATATCTCAATTGCTCCAAAACTGATCTAACCAAATCAACACACCTGACTTGGTAATTATAGTTACATTTGTAGTAATACAGAATTTAAACATTTAATGTTCAATCTAAGGGCATAAGCAAGCGAGGTTCATAGATATACAGTGTTGTCATAAGAGAAGTTCCTACCTTTATTATCAATTAAAAAAAATGTTTGTTGCTGCCCTTTACCTAAGCATTCTTTATTGATACACCTAAGATACACGTATCGACCGATACTCATTCATATGTGTCATTTACTATTAGAAACTAAGTCTTATTCTATCAAGTGTTGCATATGAAATTGTGTATAAACAGTGAGGTGTACCAGAAATACTTTATTCATGTCAGAAAACTAAAAGTATTTACATTACAATAAGGACGATATTTGTTCAAAAACTTTTATTTACTATAAAGACAAAAAACACCAAAATAGGTACGAATTATACTATATAAAATTGGTTCAATGGGGTAAAAACTTTTAATTAAAATATCTTGATATATTTAAAATAACAAAGGATACAATGAAGCCAAATTTCTTAACCCAGAGATTCTGTAAAATTTGCTTGCACAGTAAGGTGCCAATAGAAGTTAGCCCTTAAGCCCTGGAAGTCTTAGGAATCAGTCACATAGCAAATATAATTTCATTGTGAAAGTGAACTTTGGTAGAAGAAACTCTATAGGACACCTGAGGTAGTAGAAACTGGAATAAACAGCAGTAGACGTTATTTACAACTTAAGTACCAAATAACATTAAGAACACAAAAAAATAATTACACAATACAATTTTCAGTCCAGCTTTGATCCAAAGAAAATAAGAATATTACATCACATCTGCATTTTAAACACACCACAATTACCAGCAAGCTGAGGGAAACGCAAGCAAACTCAAACAAATGCATTTGGACAGCTAGAGGCAGTTTGAGTTTGAAATGTGGTAGGCATGGTGATCAAAAAGTAATACTGATTAGCTGAGGTTCATCAGTTTATACAGTTTACATTTCTGCCAGAAACAGTATTAATCTGACAACTGATCTTCCAGTACATGAATTGGCAAGAGTGCATCCTTTAAAGCTTGCACATAAGAAAGACTTGGAAACAATCTTAATAGAATGAGAAATTCTACAGTGATAAAAAAAAAAGTCAAGTACAAAACAGTTAGAGCTACCAAACTTCACATTTCGGTATTATCTTTTTAACTCTTCAAAATCTGCCAATCTTCCAAAACAAAGGAATGTAAAATTTCCAAAAGAAACACATTCACAATTAATGATACTGCTTTTTTTATTAGTATGAGCACTATCATTTCTGTAAACTTATCTTTAAGATGTTTTACTTCCAATTTGTATTGTACATTTTTAATGTACTATAGCTTATTTAGTGTGTCCTGAGTCTTTAAAAATAACCAATTCTATTTCAGTCCAACAATCCAACTGGCTTCTGAAGAGTTAAAATATCAACAGTATTTTTTTACAAATGGATTAAACACAATCAGTATTCGATTAAAAAAGATCCCCATTCTTAAAAAAAGCAAAAGAAAAGCTGCCATTTTCCTTCAGAATTACATGCATCAGAATCTAAAAACCTGCCTTTTAAATAATTTTTAAAACCTGTTTAAAAAAAACCACCTGCTAAGAACAGAAGTTTTGCACTACAGGTGAAGCTTTACTTCACATTTTACTTTATCTTGCTTTTCAAGTCCAAGTTTGTTTCTTGGACTTTATTTTGTTAAAATAAATACCTTTCTTATGGTAACATTTTTAAAATTTTCAAATTAAATTATCATTAATGGCTACAGTAAATAGATGATGTACGGCAGAAGGAAAACAGCAGGTAAAACTTCTTATCAGTAGAGTATGTGACCTCAGTTTTGTTACACACAGAGTAAGATTTGCTCATAGTTGGCACCTACTCCCACTGAAGTGCATGACAGTCTCCCATAATCTTTAATGGGAGCTGGGTTTGCGTCCTTTGACGTGAAACTTCTCTACACAATTTGCCAGAAGAAACTGCTATATGAAAAGAAGGCTCAACAACTTTTAGCATGATTCAGACTAAGTTGTTTTATGCAGAACAATCTTGTTTTTTCTGTTTTGTTTTTTAAATAACTATACTATCAGAGCCTTCAACACTGCCTTGTTGAAGGTGGCATTTTATTTTATTCCAGATTTCCAGCAAATTCGTTTTTAAAACTCTTGTGTCGGAAAGATGTTCCATGACACAGTTTGCATCTTCTTCTAAAGACTGTTTTAAACGATCACTTTCCCTGAAAGTTAAAAATACAATGAAAACAAACTATAATTTCAAAAGAAATTACACGGCCAGCAGTAAATGCACAGTGAATCACAACTGCCTGCTCGTACTTAAAGGAAGGCAAAATATTGATGGTTTGTTTTTTTTTTAAAAGTATCCATCAATGTTTGGATTTGTTACTCAGAGAACTTTGTATAACTAAACGGGACAGATACAGAACTTCCTTTTAACCAGTGCTGAAAACTGACTAATTGCAGAACCCTCTGCTTACATCTACACGATGTGAAATAAAACAGTGATTGCTATATTAAAATAGATCCTGAGCCCCTCAGCTGCTAATATTGCTGAAAAAGCGCTCCAAAAAAAATAAAAACGACTTATCTGCTAAATAATCATGCAGTTTTAAGGAAAAATGCTTTTGTGTTCACATAGAGCCCGATGTTTGAAAAGGCACAGTTTACAAGTCTCTGAACAAATTGTGAAGTGTTGCATACTGAGCTTAGGTACCAGATCTCGATTTGTCAATCACATACTTAGGTAAAGGTCCTCCACTGGCCCTAAGTCCATGATGTATCTATCATTAAGGCCAGCAGAATAATACAATTTGCTGTGCTTAACTGCACTGCAAGGCAGCTATTCTATATTCAGTAGCATCTTCTTCAGTATATCAGCCTTATACATAAGTAGCTACCATGTAGTACGGAAGACTGGGTGTTTCAGCAGCTCCCTTGATGGGGGTCTGTCCTGAGGTTGAAGTTCTAAACACCGAAGAGTCACATCTTTCAAGCCAGGAGACAGATGTGTAGGGATTGATGGAGCAGTAGTTGCACTAGCAATCTGAACAAAGGGAAATAACTTTTTAGAGGTCAGCTATTCTTCTCCTTCCCCAGAAAGCTTCCACAAGCTGATTATCTTCAGACGACAAGTTATATTACGAGCCACTTAGCGTATTTCTTACTGCAGTTTGAAAATAACATTACTACTTCCCTTTTATAAAACGGGTCTTAAGTTGCCGTTATGCCTCTTTCCCCAGTAACACAGGTTCTATTGCTTTTCACAGTCTGCCTCTCTCCTTGCACTTTTCTCTAAATTTTCTTCTTACCACAAGATTCTGCAGTCACCATCTGCTGAGCAGGCCATAAGAAAAGCTCTTGTATCACACAGAACAGGTGTTCTCTTGCCTACCCATCACCAGCAGAGTTAACTGGCATGAACAAACATGGAGATACAGTAAGCTGAGCGTTGTTACATTACGGTATGTTAGGCTGGGTATGCTCTCGTGCATTGTCTTTACTGTATTTCTGCTACCACCCCAAAGGGCAATCTTTCTCAGACAGATGCAGATCACTCCCATCACGTTAAGTTTTACCTTCTCTAGATCAAATTAAGCAAGGTGATTAAGAACACTGGGGTGGCACCATCAGATTCACACAGACACAGAACCAAGACAATTACATCTCATTACAGATTTGAATACTGCTCTGCTATTTCTGTTTCATGGAAACACTTTCTTCACTCATGCTAGTGAAGATGCTAATTACTTTCTTTATTTGTGGCAGTATTTTCTTCATTTATGCCTACAGTTCAACTAGAATTTTAGAATTAAAAATACCTAATTGATTTTAATAAGAAACCTGAATGCTAAAATGGATGACCTAGAAAAGGGAGGGGCAATATTCATATATAGCATGGCATAATGGTAAATATCTTTCAGCAAAATCTGAATTTGGAACATCGGGTTTTTACCAAAGGACATTGCCCGCTATGAAAGATGAATACGAGCATATGTTTTTTGGTAGAAATATTTATTTTGCTCCTGTATTTTGCAGGATTGTAAGAAAGAGTTCAGATCTCAATCTTCTGTTAAGAGTCAGGATCAACTCTATTCCCAATTTTTTTTTTTTTTTTAGCTTTTGCACAATTATTGTGTTGGTAGCCTTTTTTTTTTTGAACAAGCAGTTATGATTATGCTGGTAGCAGTATTAATTTTGTACTAACAGCTCCCATATAAAGATGAGCTATTGCAACAACCCCTACTATGTGTATACTTTTCTAAAATTCACATTCTAAAATTCACATTCTAAAATTCATGAAATTAGTGTCTTTAGTAGCGTATTTGTAGTAACAAAATACCTCACCTTAAATATCAGAGCAAGATGATTGGGGTGTTTTTTTTTTTTTTTCATAACAACACAGCCAACGCTCCACACATCGCAGCTCCTACCATATTGCTGACCTCTCAGAACCTGAACAGACAGACCAACCAAATTACCCAATTATCTGCTTCCAAAGTCTCTTAACTCGAATTAATTTAGATGCAAAAAAAAAAATATCATCAACCAAGTGCATTCTGATTAACATTTCAGGTTGAGAGAGTGCTCAGTGATGTAAATACCTTAAGATTTAAACAGCTGTATAGAATTAGTAAATAGAAGGCCTGATCAAGAGGCAAAGCGAAGTAACTTTGTAGTAGTTAGCTTTTGACTAAATGGTCGCTTGAGCTTTAGTAACAATACTTATGATAGATACATCTTGTAACAAACTACTTAATGCAACATTGACAGGGAGAAACAAATGTCATTATCACCATGTTGGAGTAATTCCTATTCTTTAGAACAAGTACATTTAAAATGTACTTGAAGCATTTACAGCAATTTTCTGTTATTTGGCTGTACAAATCAGCTTAGAGAGTTCAAACAAACTTTTTAAAGTAACTTCCAAAACTGGTTTCTTACCTCCGGTGCCATAAATGCAATAGTTCCCAACAACTGTCCCTGAAACTCCCCAGCACCAGTTCCTTTTGATGCCAACCTGGCTGCAGCTCCAAAATCAGCAATTCTTAATCTATGACCTGTGCTGTCAATTAGCAAATTGGCACCTGTCAACAGCATAATAAAAATACTGCTAGTTGGCTTTCTACTAAGGGTAAAAGGATGATCAGACACTTTTCCTCCCTCCATTCAAAACTGTAAATAGGTTGACATTGCCCACCCCCAACAGCAAGGAAATCTAAAAATCAGGGACAAAGTCTAATAATGTCACTTCTCTGTTATGCCTGAACGATACCGCAGAGAGCTCAAGGCTGTCCAAGAGATCTACGGAAACAATCAAACTTTCAAAGTAGGGTAAACACACAATTCTGGAATAATGCCTGGAGACAGAATAATGAAAGAAAATGGTGACCTAAACCCCTGGAGTTTTTCATTGCCTGCAGCTCTTATTTCATCCTTAATGAACTTTTGAGTTGTCTTTAAGAGAATTACAGAGCACTTGAAAGTTTTCCTATTTTAAGGAGGAATATTAAAGACAAATATCTGGCATCTCTATGTTGCTACTTATCTGAATATCTCTCTAGTTCATGGACAGCTACAGTGACATGAAAGGGGAAAGTTTAGTAAGACTGGTATTTCCCAATGAAGTACACATTTTCTTTAAACGCAGTACAGCTGTATTTATGTTCAGTTAGGATGAAGGAAGAAAACGCACCACAATATTCCTATACATTAGAAACCTGACCTCTATCTTGGCTTGTTCACAGATTTTACTATCATTTCAGGGTAAACATTTACATTAATTTAACTAGCAATCCTTAAAGCTATGTGGCAACTTCGTATTTTATTTGAACAAGTTGAGAAAACCGAATTTTCCAAACCATTGGCACCGGTAGCAAGTATCCCCAAGCATGTTATGAACATTCTGATTGATTTCAGTAATTAAACGTTCTTCAGAATGACGAGACAAACCCACAGAAATACTACTCTTGAGATGGTATCTGAGAGAAGCAGTAGGTCTCAAGCTAAAATAGATGCTGCTTTCTGAATATTCCTTTTTAAAAGACATTCTAAATAATTCTCACCTTTAACATCTCTATGGATTATCTGATTCTCATGGAGGAAAGAAAGGCCACGTAACAGTTGTTCTGTGTAATTAATAATAACCGATTCTTTGAAGGCTCCGTATTTACTTAACAAATGAGCAACTGAACCCCCTAGAAAGTAAAAAAAAATACATTTTATCAACTCTTATATTTTGTAGAATGCAGCACTGCCACCTAGAATTGGAACTTGGTGTTGGTATTTCTAATTTATAATTAGATTTCTCCTCCCCTCCAAAAACATTTAAAAGTTTCATAGGCATAAAGTAATTATATGGTTACTTAATTATTTTCTACCTGGAACTGTACACATTAAAGACACAAGTCTTCATGCTTCCTAATAATTTTATACTTCCTTAAAAGAATGTACAAATCCCTTAGCATACAAGTACTGTTGCTGATAAAAAACCACACGTATTTATCCACATTCTCCATTAACTTTTTAGCAGTAGAAACTAGCTTTCTTTGGGGCAGCAGATACGCCCAGCCTCTAGTGAATGTTCCCTCCGAGGATCTTAATTTACTTTTGTTACCATCCAAGTACCAATATACAGAAGCAAGTAAACAAGGAAGCAAAAGCAGTATCTTCCTCTGTTTTCCAAAACTGGTAAACAGATCCTCAAGATTTTGGATTCCCATTGTGCCTCTCAAAGTATTCTAATATAACTTGAGCTTGAATGAGGTAAAAACAATTCCTTTCATTTCTTTATCTGTATAATATTATTTCAGAAAAATTATACCTTAAAAAAAGTTAAACACCTTTAGTTTTGAGAAAATATTTTCTGCATTATTGCTTGTAGTAACACTTTCCTGGGCGTTTCTTGTCAGCATTCTAGTATTGCTAAGTGGTTTCTGCCAAAGAACGTAAGTTACGGTGCAAAACTTTCTCTTATAAGAAATAAGGAGGTACAACACACCAAATCCAGTCTTGGTAACTGCAACAACATATAATCGCTTTCCTTAAATTAATAAAGTTCCTTCTTAAAAAAAGGATATAGACTTTATTGCTCCTGCTCTATAAAATAATGAAAATATTTTGCTCTTTATTACTAGATTACCACACAATATATTTAAGATTTGAACATGTTTTTCCCAAAGCATCCCACTTACTACCTATTAGTAGAAGTTTGCTTTAAGTTCTTAAATGCCTTTGCACACTTTTTTATGAAAATGCTTGGGATAAAAACAAGTGATGGGTATTCAAACTTTCCAGTAAAATTATTTTTAAGAACAAGTTAAAGTTACACAGGTACATTGACAATGCAACAGTTTGATGTATATCCAACTGAAGTGCCTGTCTCTCAAAGTCTCCAACTGTCCATTTAGATTCAGAAATTGAGGAAAAAGTAGTAGAATTTTTGTTCAGGGCTTCCAACTACTTTAACTGTATGACACATTAGGTATGGAAAATTCCAAATCAAAAAAAGGACACACCAGTGTCAATACAGTAACTTAAACTGTTCTGTAAGTAGACCTTTACACTGGTTACCAACAGCAATGAAAATACAAGTCTGCAGACTAAAGGGATGCAAAATAGTGTATGAAACTACATAGTTCAAGACTCATCTGGTATTTTAATTTTCTTTGGCACAGTAGTTGTTTACCTGCCATCCATTCAATAAAGAGGTTATAGTTGCTCTTCTCGCATGTAGCGCCCAACATTCGAATGATGTTAGGATGGTTTAGATGACTCATCATCCTTATTTCTTCTCTCAGTGCTTCAACTACCTCTTCTTGCTCAGATGATGTGTTCCTGACATACGTCACCTGTTTTGAAATATGTTATTCACATTTATCTTATATAATTACCAGTCCTGTAACCTCCACTTCAGCACAGTAACAAGAATGGATGTGTTTCTACCCTTTTCCACCATCTAGAAATAGCATTTTTTTATCTCAAGCCCCTTCAGCTGAGAATCTATCTCTGTGTGAGACAGTCACAGAAAATTAAGAGTGATCTTCTAGGGAAATACCAATAAAAATCTCTCCAAGTATGGAGTGGGGAGACTTCCCTCTTGACTCTCCTCTGCTTAAACTAGGATTTTTTTTTTCTTTTTCCCAGATATTGAAGTAAAGGATGAAAGATAAGGCCTGAAATGGCATTCTGGCAGTGTTGTTATTTGTAAGATTTTTACAGTTAAACGATACTATCTGTTTCATAACTAAGCCTCTTATCCCAGAAATTTGATAGGGGGCGGGAAAGCAGATCAGAAGCCCTGGAGCCAGCTCCAGCTCTTATCCATACTACATCTGAAATAATGGTATGCTGCAGAGAATTTCCCCTGGGCGTCATCATCTCTCCAGGAGGAGACTCAAGGACTAAATGAACAGTCCTTCTCTTTTGCAAGCAAGGGAGTTTCAGAGGAGGAATAACTGACAACAGATATCCTTTCCTTGATTAAGTGTTTTGAAATTGCTCAATTCCATAGGTGTAAGTTCATTCTAGAATTAATAAGAAAATGTTAGGACTACGATTCCCTCTAAGTTGGTATCACTGATTCAGACCTAGGGCATCTTAAGTGTGCAAGGTTTACTCACATCTAGAACCTTCAAAAATCTTGCACGAAGCATGTGCATTTGGGCCCCTTTTCTCAGTCGCACCTCCATATCTATTAATTTAAATGTTAAAAATACTTGCCTCAAAGTTGGCCGTTGAATCAGAGGAAACAAGCATTAAACTACATTTCCTCCACTTTGACTGTTTTAGGGAAAAAATTTTGATGAGTAAGGGGAAGCTACCTTGTAAATAGGCCATCAATTTGGAATCGAGATCTGGGCTCTATTCCTAAATCTGTCACTGATTTATGAACTTGAGAAAAGTAAAAATGCCTTTGAGAAACTATGAAAAAAATAAGCATATAAAAAAGCATAGTATTTTTTCATTTTAAGGAGATGTTAAAAAAATGAAAATATTACATCAATACCATGCACATAAAGACTTTTTATTATGTATTACATGAGAAGACATGACAGGGAGCAGAGGAAGCAAGGAACACAAGAAGTCTGTGAGAGCAGAGAGCTTTTATATTTAATATTGCAAAGAAATACTGAAGAACAAACATAATATATTCAAGAAAGTGAAGTATTTTGAAATATTTACCTGTTTTACAGCCATTAATGTCCCCGTTCCTACATCTTGAGCTTGGTAACAGGAAGAGAAAGCTCCAAGACCAATCTGCTGACCTTTAAGCCATTCCGCGTCTTCTCTGTAATGGTGTTTTGCTTTGGTATGTCCAGGCAGGGTTTCTGGTGTCTGAGAATTGAATTCCAAATTAATTTCACATTTACTAGCATGCATCTAAAATGCAGACATTCTGCAAGGTTATAAAATATCTAAGCTTATATGCCTTTCTTCTACCTTGCAGTTCTTTGTACTGCATGTTACACATGTTTCAGCTGAGACCAGAACACCAGCGTATTCCATAATCCACATACTCCTACTGTATGAACAGAGAGCCTCCCCTGTGTTACGACTTGAAGGTGAAAGACAAGATTTAAGGACACAAATAGCAGTAAGACTTTTTTTCTATTCCTGATCTCATGTCTAATCAAGATTTTAGTCTGCACCCAAAGTAAAGTTTTCTGCTTAATTTATTTCTCCCATTTTGTGCTTCACACGTTGTTACCTCATGCAAAGGATCACAAATAAAACAGTCCTTTCTCTATTCTTATTTCTTGTGGTTTTGTCTATTTGCAAACAAGTATCTTTTTTCTGACTTCTAAAGTATCTCACACCTTCTCTCTCAAGATGTGCTGACAACAAGATCTCTTCCAACTCTCCCTTTTCTTTCACAATCCGGTATGGTTTTGTATGATTGCCGTCAAAGTAAATCAGCATTAAGAATCAGTACAGTTCTACTCCTGCTTAAAAACTTTGTTCTCATTTCCTGTCTTCCCCACTTTTACACCTTGTTCTTTGCCATTTTAAAGGTTGGTATATGACATTGTGTCTCTCTTCCAAATACCTTCTCTAATCTTATTAATAACCATGAAGCACCCTCAACAGGCAGACTGTTTATACTCCAACTCCTAAGACAGGGTACAGAGTACCTCTCTATTTCCAAAGTTACGTAAAAACGCAACAGCACTGCTTTACAAAATATCTTCACCATTTTCGACCTGTAGTTGGGGAATTATTGGCAGGGCATCTTGAGATGCTGACATTGCCATAGCAATAGCTAAAGCTTCCTCCTCTTCAGCTTCCATCTTTTCCTTGCATTTTTGATTATGATTTACATCATCTTTGTATGTATCATCATTTTCTGCCCGCTCAGGAGAAAGCACTGCAACTTCAGACTTGAATGTCACTGTGCCATCACTCGACGGCATGGAGGCCTCCAGTAGATCCTCAATACTGGAATTGAGCTCTGCATTAACATCCAGTCGACATTTTTCATCTACTGGTGTGAACACTGTCTCTTCACTTGGTATAACTGCACTGCTACTACTACTCCTATTGCCATCACACTGTGAAATATCATTCAGGTCAAGTGTCATACTGTTTTTTGAGGTCTCTCCCTGCTTGTTCACATCACTTGGGTTGGGTCGTGATGGCTTCGGCCTGTGTATGTGACTGGATGGCAATGGCCTGGCTTGGGTGAAAACTGGAGAAAGTTTCTCTGATTCTTTATTTTCAGAACAGTTTCTCTGAAACTGGAGAGAAAGTTTCCGCTGTGTTTGAGGAGAAGGTGAGGGGATTTTGCAGGGAACGAATCCCTGAGGTCTGAGTTTAGAGACATCTGTTACAGTGCCAGCTGGTACAGATGGGTTTGAAGGAGACAGAAGCGTTGGGAATAGTGACTGGGAATGACTGGATGAGGGAGAAGAGTTCAAACACTGACTGTGGGGCTTTCCTTTTGTTTGAATGGCTGGCTTTGGTTGCTCAGTGGTTACTGATGAAACAGGAAGTCCCACAGCAAGGCCAGCCAGAGTCTCAGAAATGTCCTCTGGACTGGCACTCTGTTTTTTATCACTTAAACCTTTCCCACTCTTCCCTGATAACTGGACAGTATTGTCAGGAGTATTACTTTCTGTAGCTTCTGGAGAGTTATCTGGCACAGGCAGCTGCAAAAAGTCCTCATGTTGACATTCCCCAGAGTGCATTTCTGCCATGCCTAGCTGGATGGCTTCTGCAATTTCCATTTCATCTGCTATTGCCATCAGACGTCGACGCATCCTTGCGTAATGACTCGAGCTCGTCATACTCAACATTTCTAACAGCTTTACAAAAACATGGGGCACTCTGGCCACCATTCTTGCTGCACTCAAAAATACTCTCCGTGATAGTTTACCAACCATTGAGTGGGAATTGTCAATTGACTGCACGGCAAAAGTTAAGAGGGACAGAAGTTTATTATACCTAAAAAAAAGAAAAGAGGTGTTTTATACACTGATATGCTCTAGTTAACTAGTGCCAAGAAAGCCATTTCAGGATAATGCATTTAGCTGTCAGTTCTGCAGCAGAAAGGAGACGTTGCTGCACTGGTGTGTCAAAATTAATTCACCTATTAGAAGCTTTTAAAAAAGGCAACCATTTACTCTCTGAAGTAAGTGCACTTTTGCATATAAATATATACTATTTGTTTACAGGAACTAGAACAACTTTTTTAAAAAAATCACCAATAGCACATTCAACTATGAAGAGTAACAGTCACACAGCAGAAGCATGTACCTGTCTACTACAGTATCAGCCTGTAAGACATCTCCACAGACAATGTGGGGATAAAATTCACCAGGAAATTCCAACAGAAGTCTGTCTATTAGACAAAGTCGCCCCAGTAGTGCTTGCCAGTTGCTAGATTCAGTTTGGGTTCCAAGAATACATTTTAAGACATAATCAACACCACCAATACCAATGGACCCTATAAAAAAAAAGTTGGTAAAATAAGGATATGTTCACAATCTAAATTCTGACCTAAATAAATATCAGAACTGTATCATATAGAAATACACATTGTGTGCCCAAATTACCCGCCTCCCAAACTGCTGAGAGATACTGTTCTCTCTTTGCTATGCTGATATTGGATAAATCCTGAATTAAACTTAAAACACTTCAGTATATTTGCTTGTAATTATAATTCAATTATATATGAAGAGCTATTGTTACCAGATTTAAGTATTTCTCTCCCAACTGCCAGCTCGCCTGCTTGGCCTTTACACATCTCCAATAGCGTTGAGACTGAAAGCTGACTTGTTCGACTATGAAATAAAAACCAAAAAATAACTCTTTTAGCAGATGCTTTGAAGGAAAAACATTCTAATAATTACATTTCAACAATCATCAGCTTGGAACTGTGTGTGGAAAATTACTTCACATCACTTCATCCCAGTACATTTCTATAATCCTCTATCTGCAAGATACCAATAGTTGTGACTTTTTTAAAAGGATACTTCCAGAAATGTGATGTCTATCACTAATAAACAAACAAAAACCCAAATAGGACCTCATCTTCTTGCAAAAACAGGTCAAATCCAAGAATCCAGCAACACAATGAACAGTTCTGTTTTCCTTTAACTTTAGGCATTTTATTGCTAGACTATTGCTGGGGCATCTCTAACTGCAGTTTCAGAAGCAGTGCTCCTCAGGAACTAAACCTAAAGAGATGAAAGTCAAGCTGGTGGACTTCTGCATCTGTGTTACAGTACAGGTGAAAGAACTGGTTGGTCTAGCAGAAGACAGGGTAGCTTAGGACAGGAAGACAAGCCCCACTCATGGCAGAAACATCAAGGGCATTCACTCAGAACAGTCATCTCCTAACACTGCACTGTGAAATAAAAAGTAGAAGTGTTATGTTAACATAACATGTATGTTAACACTTCACAGCACAGATGTACAACAGCTTTTGTTGAAGCAGGAAACATACGTGATTGGTACTTGCTGAAGGGTACTTGCTGACTGCTTAAAGCTGAGTCATGAGAATTAGACCAAAGCAGTATCAACTGAGATGGAGGGAACTGTTGATGACCTAACATCATCTTTATTTTAAGAGGGGGAAAGAGGTCTTATGCAAGCATCTAAGATCTGTAACTGCTGGAAAAATACAATCAGGTGCCTTCAAAACCTGCATCTTTCAAGACAGCAGTTTGCTGGTAGCAATTAGACTTTAACAAAAACATTATATAATTATACTTATGATCCACACATTTTATTTCACCACCAACTATAAATGGTCTCCTAGTTCCAAATACATAGCAATAAATGAAGCTTCAATACATTTCAGTAACAATCCAAAATGAGTTTGAAGTTCATGAGACACCATACCTGTTGGCATCTGCACATTTAACTAATATTGTCTCTACAACTGGCTTGAGAAGTCGCTGTAGTTTAGTCCTTTCTGCCAAAGTATGACAGGGAGTATATACCAGCATGGCTCTTAAAGTTTTCTAAGAGAAAGGAAAAAAGCAATACATTTGAAATCAAAATGAGCTACACAACTTTTTTATTCTTTTTAAAGAGTTGTAAATAGTTTTATATAAATTGCATTCAAAATATCAGTGAAATGTTCAAAGAATAAATAGCTTACTACATATCCACTGTTAGACTTATTCATATATTCTTTGAGATTGGAAAGAACCTAGTCATACAAGTACTGTTAATACTAAGCATTCCAGTAAGCATTTCCTTATACTTGGCCAGTGTTGTTCATCACCTTCAGGTAATGGTTAAAAGTTAAGTCACCAGTGACGCTCAACAACAATTAGTAGGATTCCTGACTTCATGTATCTCCTCCTTCCCCCTGCCCTTCTAAACTGAGGTAACTTCGAAATTACTAGAATACGATGAGTAAAAAACTACTTACTAAAGCAGCAACATACACTTTGTAGACAGGGTCGGCACAGACCATGGACAGCACACTGCAGCAGGATTCCACCACCACATCTCCTGAGATACTGGTCTGAGATGACCCACTAGCTGCACCCAGAGCTCCAGTACTTGTGTTGTTTCCATTGCTGCTTCCAGAATTTCCAGTGCTTTCACCATTAGCCAGTAACAGAGCCCCACTGACATCATGGGAAAGACGCCTAAGTGCCATCTCTCGTATATTCCAGTTTCGAGAAAACAAGCAGCCAACTAACTCCATTCCAAACACCTGCCAAGGAAAAAGCAATGTTACATGAGTCAAGCTAAGTAATACTGCAACCTGAGTACCCAAGAACAACAATCAGAAAAAGCAAAGAAATGTTTCTGGTGAAAAATCACCTTAACAAGCCTGACAGTAAAATGTGTCAGAAGGTAAAGTGTCTTAAAAAATAATTCTGTGATCGAAATGAAACATCATAAATGATAAGTCATTGGTTCTCCAAAAACTCTGTTAAGCAAAGTGAGAGGATGACTGTATGGATGGTTTCATTCACTCTGAATTTTAATTACTCAGTACGGAGTTTGTTTTTAGACATTGATATAAACAACCCTGAAACCAAGGTCCAGCTGTATCAGACAAAACTTACAGCAGAAATATAGGCAATACAACTTCTTTCACTTTTAAGCACGTGACCCCTGCTCAGCTGAACCCACCTCTAGACTCTAAGAGATTATTTAGGTCATTCGGCTCCTGCAGCACAATTTATGTAACAGTAAGTGCCAGCTTCGCATTTATGTGACACATGCACAACCAAAATTTATTACATAGGCCTTTAATACGAGGCCCGAGATAAGGTCCAAAACGGAAACCCCAGTTAAAACAAGACTGGAAAACATTCTCTTCTGATGCACGTTAAATACAATTTTTTCCCAATAATTATCAACCATGAAGCTGATGTGATTCAGAATAAATTTTTTAGTTGTTGATCTGACAAATCTAGCAAAACAATCCAAAATCAGTATTTACATTTGAAGCTTCTTTCACAAATTACCTGAATCCATGGGTCAGCTAAATCTTTATAGGCAGAAGGGATCTGCTGGACCCCATAATGAGTAAGGTTAAAACTGCTGTCTTGGGTTCTTCTCTGTGATCCAGCTGCAGATTGCTGCTGAGTTTGCTGCTGGGCACTGGAACAGGCTGCCCAGGGAGGTGGTTGAGTCCCTATCCCTGGAGGTGTTTAAAAAACGTCTAGATGTGGCACTTCAGGATATGGTTTAGTAGGAATGGTGGTGTTAGGTGGATGGTTGGACTTGATGATCTTAGAGGCCTTTTCCAACCTATGATTCTATGATTTACTGAAGTAAATACTTCAGCATATTTAGGAACATCAACTAAGGATCCAGAAACAGATAGTTTGTTATACACAGACTGAATCCTTACCTATAGAAATCATGAGATCTCCATTTAGATCTACAAAGAGGACATATAAGAGGCTCTCTGTTTCTTCTGCATTCTTCTGCCCCTGGAACACAGCAACAGGATAATACACATACTTCAGTTTTACAGTGTATAAAACCAGAAGATGACATTATTATTTCTAAGTTTTACTGAAAAATGTTAGTTTCAGGTTAAACACTTCTGAACTGAGCCATTTGCAGCAGCCTGATAAACATGGGCATTTAAACATTTTTTTGCATGTAGAAATGCTTCAGTTTAGCATTACAATTAGTATTAAAAGTTATGAGCTGAAATGCAGTTCTTTTTGTACTTCAAACATAGGCAAGACTTTTTCAAAAGTATTAAGATATGGCAGATAGAATTTTATTTGTTAAAGAAAATAGTAATCATTTATGTACTTTATTTAATGTAGTATGTAAACATACTCTGTAATTCACTATATAATCCTAGCTGATAGCAGAAGGCTTTCATGCATTCTAATGACAAGTCACAGGGAGCTAAAAGTTTGTTCCTAGTCTTGCTCTAATTGGACATAATCTTTTCATTTGGGTAAAAGAGGTTCAAACCTCTAGCCCTGCAGTTAACTTCTTTCTCAAAGCATCAAATTACAAACTTGATTTGTGAATAATCAACAAAATGAGGCACATCAATAGCACCCAAAGGATACCAAACTCTCATGAATAGCTACCAGTCATCACTTAAGAGCAGGTTTCTGGTTTTTATTTTGAACAAATAAGAAGTCCAATGAAAACACACTAAGTTACAATACTTTTGCGTATTTAGAGTCACCACAAATTAACAAGACAAAGATGACAACATACATATTGACATGCAGTGGTGGTGTAATTTATTCCTGCAGCCATCTTCACACACAGTTAGGCTCTCTTCATCCAGCATGCCTAACAAACAAATGGGGCACATCTGCTCTTCTTCATCCTTCATACTATAAAAATAGACATTTGTGATTGTAAAAGTGGCGTATCAGAATTCATAGCAGGATTTAACCGTGAAAAAAATATTAACTTCCAGTTTGGAACAGTCACTTCTAAATAACTATAGGCTATTCATGAATCATTCTCCTAAACCTTGGTCTGTATAAGTAAGCAACCAAATTTTTAGAAGCACTGAGTACGGACAACACTTTGTTGAAATGAAAGGTAAAGTCACAAAACACATGACATCTTTTCAAATTAGGTCAGATATCAATTAGAGATTGAAAGACCCAGCTTTGGGTCCTTACATTTTTTCTCCTAGAGCTTCTTTACAAACCAGTCTTTGCTTTTTCACTTATCATTTGGTTTTGAAAGACTACGAAATTTTTGTATTTTCGAAAGATACTCAGATTTTTTTCCCATCATGCTGCTATCAGAGGGTTGAGTCATAAGGTGGTCTTTAGCCCATTGCAGAAAATAATGGCTATTACCAGAGATTTTGCCAAAAGATTATTCTAAACTTAAGCAACATGTAGTGAAACCCACAGATTTTAATCTTCCTTAATACTGTTTAAATGTGCAAAACTATTACTGCCCGTAGCAAAAACTTAAGTTATAGCTGGTGTGTCTTAAAGTCTGCAGGAACCCTGTATTTGTTCACCAACAATATATTTTTAAAATAAAATTAATTTGTATACATTGTTTCTATACATATATATTCACTTCTGTTTCCTTGTAAATGATTGACACTATTTTTTTCTTGAAAAATCCACAAAATTAAGCTGACAGTGAAAAATTCACTTCCACAGCATGTACAGAAACATAAGTACTAATCTAAAACTGACTTTTGAAGAATTATAGTAAACAAAAAATAATTTCAAGTCCCAGTAATTATCAGAACTGAGTAAACTTCTATCTCGAATCTGATGCTCAATATTCTCCAATAGTTGTATCATGCAAGATTAGACTTGCACAAAATGGCAAATTATTTCATTGAACCAGTAATGCTAGGAACTAATCATCAGGTGTACTGGCAAACAACTGAAAACTCTTTCATCCTGTCAAAAATGAGATCTCATGCAGTGAAGTTCACAATCCAGTGAAAGCAATTCTATGAAAAAAGATATTTTCCTACACAAGGTATCTACATTATAGGAACCGGCTTACCAGATACGTAGTTCCAGAGTAGCTTATTTAACTACTTTGATTATGCAATTTGTTTACACTGACACAATTTGACAATTTGGAAAAATAAGTAAAAGATGATGGAAAATAAAGGTCACAATCTGTACATCAGAATTATAAACCTGTCTGAACATACTCTCTAACTATATGCTTATTATCACAATGTAACATAGCAAGGTACTCCTTAAGTTACGCTTCACTGTGCACAAAAGAAAGCCTCAGCTTAGTTTGCCTTCTGTGGTTTGGCCTCTCTAGAGGATAACTAGTTCATCCACTAATGCACACACAAATCACCTGTTTTAAAAAAAGTAACCAATATCTTTTCAAAATTAAGGAAAAGTACACGCAAAAGCACTCAAGTAGAAGTAGTCAAGGGGGAATAAAAGACTGAAACATCACTTAAAATTGATAAATAAAGCAGCATTTAATATTGTATGAACTATAAAAATTGTAATAGTTTAATATCTCCCCTAAAATAATTTAATCACCCATTTTACATGAAGTGTTCTTTTAAATATCTGCTTATGTTTTATATATTCATTTTTTATATATGTTTACACAAAGACCAAAAATTTACCAAAGAAATTTTCAGTATACTGTCATAGGCACAAGCATTTCTCCAAAGTAAGACAAGAGAAAGAGAAAAATCATGTTTCTTCATTTGTCAACATTTGCACAAGTGCTGCATTTGAACAAATGAACACAAATAGGTTTCCAAAGTTAATACATGCTTCAGTCTTGCACTTCAAAGGTTTGTTTCTCAAATTCATAAAGGGTCAAAAAAATTCTTTTCACAACTCCACTTAACATTTTTCAAACAGAAGTTATGAAGCAAATACCTCCACTTGGTACCGTGCTGACTAATGTCTGCTTGACTCGATTGCAAATACAGAGACTTAATGTGGCTTGAAATGAAAGCAGCTTTGAACAAAAAGAATGTAAGTGATTCTAAACCTACAAAATTAGAAGAAAACTACAGAATAAAGCTTTTAATTCCTTTAGAAAAATACTAACCTGTTTTCTGAACTAGATGTAGAAGTACTAGATGATGACAATGTATGAGAATTTGACATGCGTGAGACAAACTTCTGGATGGTGTTACGAGATGGAGCTTTGATCCTCGAGCTACGCCTACTGTGATATTTCTGGAACAAACTCTCAACCTAACATCAGAAAAAGATAGCAACAGTCGTATTTATGCTATGAATAGCTTGTAATGAAAAATAATATTACTAAAGCTTAACTACTGCTAAAAAAAGATCTATTCACCTTCACAATAATGCATTAGCTGTAGCAGCAGCAGAAATTTCAGAAGTCTTGCTAATAAATAGATCACAAGAAACACTTTACAACAAAAGCTTATTTGCTTATTAAAAATACTAGCTTTAAGTATACACACAATTACTTCTGTTGTACCTCATTCTGTTTACCTTTCAGCTAATCAAATATACAAATTTAAATAGAAAATCCAAGATTTAAATCACTCTCTAAACTACAGCTCTCTACTAATTCTTTAGTTCTGTCTTCTATTTGCAGCGTTTTTTCTACTTACAGAGCTCCTGAGACTGAATTAAAGACGTAATTAGAAACATACATTCTTCTGCTTTGAAACACAACAGTTTTCAGCATTTTCAAGATAAAGTCCTAAACACTTATACCTGCAGCTCATTTCAGATCTGCCATTAGATCTATTAGAAATTGATTACCTCAAAGTTCTTCAGTGTCTTTCTCCAGAGCATTGGGTCTGAGGGTTCAAGCTGGAATACTCGCAGCATAACAAACAGCAGATGAATACAAAATGTCCCACGGCCACAGCTACAAGTCTACAAAGAAAAGTATATGCTAAGGCTCTACTGAACTGACAATTACATAGATAGTTTTTCCACATTACAGTGCATCATAGAACACATGCTACCCCCCCCCAAAGTAGTTTATGCAAAAAAATTCATATATACGCATAAATATATTCTTATGTGGCCTTACAGATAATGTGAATTCCCAAAATATTATTCATATTATATATTCAGGAATATATATGGAAAATATACAGGAAAACAGACAATTACTACAACAGTTTTCAACTAACTCTTTTTCCCCACTTTTACATTTTTTTATAATAAACTGAAACTATTGCAATGCTTCACACTAGAAGGAATTTATGTATATAATTATCGTATATCCATAACATGACAGCAAACTTAAATGAGATGCTTCTGTTTACTCAAAACCCTAGATGCTCCTCAATGCAGCACCACATCAGTATTGTGAAAGTCTATGAAAAGGACCTCATTGTGGGTATTTACGAAATTATCACACCATTAAAGGAACTGTCATGTGCTTGTCATTTATATACATCCCGTGAACAGAGGACTGAAGTTTTTCAGAGTGAGACACCAGGACAATGAAGTGGCTAAATTTTAGCCAAAAATACTTCAGATATATAACTCAGAGCCACTTCTAGGAATGAGAAAGACAGGGCAACAGTAATTACTTCCAAACTAGAGTTGCTTGTTTTGTTTTTTCCAAAAGAGAAACTTTAGACAAAACTAATACTTGCTACATATTTGACAAAATACAAGCTAATCATTACACTACATGAGCACAGATTACAACTTTTAAACATTACTTTATAGAACCGTTATCATGGGTTGGCAATTGGTCTAATTTGGTTTTGAACAGTTTTCAAGTTTTTTGAACAGTAATAAAAGATACAGACAACACAAAAATGTTCTCTACCTGAGGCCCAATAAACACTCTGTATTTATTATCAGGGCTGTCTCCTCCAATTAAGAAAGAGTTGGGTCCTATCTGCTGCAGCAAGTACAGCCTGGCTCGCATAACTTTGTTGACACGACGATTTGTTTCCTCAGGGCTGTATGGAGAGAAGCCATCAGGAGACGGGGCTCGTCGAGGTGGTGTTATTCGTCCACTCTGAAACTACATAAGTGGTTCCATCACAAGCATTTCCAGGACAACAGTAAGTTTAATTAGGTGTTGATTTTTTAAGTATTTGTTTGGTTCTCCTCCTGCCCCAAAGGACATAGAATAAGGGAGTCCCCAAAATCTGAAACTACTACAACCTGCTCAGACTGTATGACTTCAAAAGGATTACTTTTCTTACATGCTTAGAACTCCAGCACAGAAGAAAACCTGAAATTTTATATAACTGAAATTGTCTGACATTATGACAGAAAATCAGTCTTAAACTGCTTCTATTTTCAAGTCTTCATTGGTTGCCTTACCATATTACTAGTGAATTAGTAAGTATGATTCGATCAGAAGACAATCACAGACTTGTGAATCAATACAGGAAATTACTATATAAGGTTGCAATGCTACTATAGTTAATAAATGAAGAAATCCTACGACTACAGTTTATAACAGGGAATCTAAGGTCAATGAAGAGCAAAAGTTTAAGAAATTACGAAGAAAAAGGATACAGCCTCTTCTCCTTCACACAATTAAGCCAACTTTCAGCTCAGGATGTTTTGTTTTGTTCCCCCATAATCAAAAATTCAATGGCCTAAATCTTCTATTAAAATTGTGTTTATTTCTAACCTTACGAGATACATTAATGTCTCTGTCCAATTTCAAATCTTCTGCTTTGATTTGTATGTACTTTGTATTTTATGTTGTGATGCAGGTTATAATTGACTCACTGTCCATCAGTTAAGTAAAAGATAGCCTGAACCGCTAAGACTTTTCATATGAAAGGGTAAAATGAAACACAGAAAAACCATCAAGTAAAAATGGATCAAAGGCTAAATTAGATAGTTTGGTGGGTTGTTGTGGGGTTTTTTGTTTGGTTGGTTTTTTTAACCTTTCAGTTTCTCTTGTCAAGAGGAAAGGAGCTGTGCTGCCATGCTGTACCTTGGGACAGTCGTCCCTAATTCAGAGGAATGGCAGTACATATTTTAATTGATTTTGGAAATCTTGTTTAGATCAATGGGACAATAAAAGCATTTAGATCTTACTCTAATTGCACTGTGAAGCTGTAGACAAGTCAACTGAAGCTTAACTGTGGATGAGCACTGTTACAGCAAGCAAACCTGTTAGACACTATTGCTCAAGACTTTATACTCTTGATCTTCTTTAATGAAGCCAGTTACTATCCCTCAAAACATTCTAATCCAGACCTTCTCAAATGTAACAATAGAAATTAACATGCACACAGCTAAATCTTCCCTGATCTGTACATAAAGATCAGTTCTGGAATAGAGGATCAATAATCACATACCAGTAACACTTCCCCGTAAGAATCTTACTCCAGCCAACAACCCTATCCCCAACGGACTATACCTGCCTGGAGAACCGACATGCAAAACTACAGGAAAAAACCAAACTTCTAGCACCTCTTTGTGCCAATGAAGCTAAGAGAACATACAGGTCTACATGACTCAGTATCTGTATTTCTTCATTTATCTCCTAGAAATAAAAATTGAAAGCAGAAGTGAATTAAAACCAAAACACACACCTAAAAGTAGAGAATAAAATTCCACACATGAGAAACATAACATGAGATATGCTTTGCATATCTCACTCAAGTGATACCTTGTCATAACCCCATTGTATCCGCATCTTGCCCTACACAGGGAGGATTATATACACAAAAGATTGCAGAATATAGCGAAATCAAAAATTAAATCACAGCTTGCAACTTACAGGCACCGGAGATACCCGTTTTCGTCTAACGCCCGGTGATTCAGATTTAACTGTCCTAGAAGATGAGGAGGAGGAGCTACTAGGAGAAGGACTACGTCTTCCTTTCTGTGTAGGTGAAGCAGCAGTGCTTTGTCCTTCAGCTTGAGGTTCTAGAGAGAGTTTGTTCATTTCCAATCCATCTCCTTTCCCGAGGATAGGTTTCACCACCTTGCAGGAATTAAACCACACGTTAGAATTACAAATCGATCATCTTACACTAAAGCAAAACAAATTAATCAAAACTTGTTTTTATTATACAATTAAGCCATTATCCAGACATCTAAAGTCTGCATATTCCCTAAGTTCTAATATTAACATCTAATTATTAACATCTAATAGGAGTTATCTTGTTAATCTACAGGCAACCCAAAAGCAAGAGCCTTTTTTCCTCTCCATTTGTGCCACTTATGTTAGTTGTGGCAGCAACCGATTTGATTCTCAAAGTACTTCTGTAATTGTCATTCATGGTATCTCAAGGGAGAGCAGTTCCCCTAATTGGACAGTAGGAGCCAAAAGAATATTTTTCTGCAGGCATTGTCTGCTTAAGAGCTATAACACTGGATCCATCTGCTGCAAATAGTAAGTACCACTTGAGAAACACTAGGGTTGCTATTTCTACAGCACAACACTTGTTGCAAAGTCAAAATTACTTTAAACCTGGAGGCAACGCAGCAAAATTAAGGTGTGTTGCACCCTATAAGAACCACATCTGGGTTTTCTGCCTGCCATACAAGTCAAATAGCTACACACCTGCTACCCAAGCTAATCACTCTGCATAGTGCTGCACTACACAAATAGACATGGGCTCAAGCAGAGTGAGTACATACACCTCTAATGCAGTGCTTTGTTGCACGAACACTGAATTTTGACACTGGAATATTTCAAGACAACTTTCAGCTGCCTGCCTCTCAGACCCACATAATGCATGAGAAGAGTAAGGCCCTTGGGGAATCGAATTAAAAGCAGTCACAGCAGGCAGATTCAGTTTTAATTCTACATTTCTCCATGTCTTAGAGGCTTGACACAAAGCTGGAAGAAGCTCCAAGTAACACTTCAGATTAACAGAGCAGACTTCTCCTAGAAAGGTCTCTGATCTAGGCAAAATTGGAAAGGGCTTTCCCTGCTCAGGGTATGAGGAGGAAGAGACATCCAGACTCAGTGCCTTTCTACCTGATGATTTGGACTGCATCCACAAGGTCAAACACTATTTTAAACTGAAGCATTTAACTCATCCAACTGAGGCTATCCCGCTATACAGAAATCCATTTCAGTTTCAGCAGGCTACAGGGAGAACCAGACAATAAGGAGGTTGTGGTCTAGCACTTAGGCACTGAATAAGAGAAGAAAAATCTGCATTTAGAGTCTTGATCTGAGCACTGCTCATTTTACTTTAGGCAGCCACTCTATTTAATGTATTGCAAACCTGAAATTTTCAGAAACCTTTGTTGCTATTGTTTTTAAATGTCCTGCTATCTGATTATGAAAGTAAACAGGAAAAAGGAGAAGTATAAAAAGCAGTGCAGCCTTTTTTTCCTCCTGTTGATTACAGTAATGCTTTTTCTTTCCTGGAAGGTCAGAATGCAAATTTGTGTGCTTACGGACAAACCACAGTTAGCAGCTGCTAGTACCTGAAAACATTTAAAATGTAAAATGGTACTAACTGAGAATCTGGAGCATCAAAAATTGTATTAAAAAACTCAGAAACCTGAAGAGAAGTGGACTCAGAGGAGAAACACTTTCAGGCTATGCAGTAACCAACATGCATTTAAAAATTTTTAAAGTAAGAACTGTTTTGTGTTATTTGACCCTTTGACATATTGCTTTTTTGGTGCACTTGTAAGTATTTTCAATGTTCTTTCTCATGACAGAAAGTTACCTACAGAACCTTCCCATTTCTGTTCTAGGAAGGCTGTCCCCAAACACTTATTTAATGCAACAGATGATCTTAACTTTAAATTAGCAGTCCCATCAAGTGGTACACGGGATTCACACCAACCAATGCAACGACACTTATAGCTAACTAATGGTTATGAAAACAGAATTGTAATCATGCATAAGAAATTTCAGAAGTGGTTTTAAGAAACTGCAGGCAGATCAAAGTTGAGCCATTCATACAAAAGCATTACCCAAAAGGCTAATAGAATAGTCTGGCAGCCAAACTTTAGCAGAATTGGGAGTTGCGTGAAGAAGTTACTCAGTTTTGGTTTTTCCTGGTTCCAGTAAGACTGCAGTTTGTTTTCTCATTTAGCAAAAATTCCATGCATATCTGTGCACAGAATAGACCACTTCAAAATTTTCAAACAAAGCAAAACTGAAGTCCTGAAACCCCTAAGAATCAAGGGAGTACAGAACACTATAATGCAGTTTTGCATCAAACTTAAGTTTTTACATAAGCAACAGGAGCTAGTTTTGTTGTTTACATTAGAGGGCAGTGTTGTCATAGTATTATTTTATAACACACAAAGCAGCAGCACAGCTATATGCCTTTTTCTTAAAAATAAAGCTTAACAAATTGCGTACATTTCAGAAAGCGACAGTTTCCTGTTAAGCAACTCACAAAAAAATGAACAAGGGGACCATAACTAAAAGTATGCAAATTGTTGAGAAAAAGTGGTTTCTAACAGAAAGAAATTTAACGTATTTTCATCTGTAATAGCTGTACAGATACTGCCCTTCCATCAGTGCCACTTACTACAGGGCCTCTCCTGCTTCTTCTTTCCAGCCATTCATGCTTCCAGGCTGGCATACACGTCGCCTTGAGTTTCTCCCGAATCATGCGCTCTTCTGGGCGGTCATCCATCTTCTGCAACCCCCTGAGGGTTTCTTTATTCTCCATGTCACGACTACAGCAAAGAAAAAAAAAAAAAGTCATAAACACAAGGAATTTTAGTGAAAGTATAATACCACAGCATTCTTAAGCTTTGTGCCATCTCATTCTCCCTCTCCTTACAACGCAGCTGCTAAAACACGACTTCCAACTGGCTGCAGCAAGCCTTTGAAGAGTTATGGCTAATTTGCTAGTCTGCCATGTGCAGCATAGCTGTTTTGAGGGCTATTTCTTTAAAACGTGTGTACTTCCTGTAACACTGGACAGCCAAAAAAAGAAAGGCCTTGTCAAATATTAAACCAATACAAAAACTACCCTGCGTCATGACATTCACCAAAGGTTTCACAGGTGTTGTGATGGTTCACGCGTTCCTTGGTAATTCAAAGCTTACAATCTCTGTTTTAAAACAATTTACAAAACGAATATCAATTAATGGTGAAAATTTTCTATCTTCATAGGATGCACAAGCATGAAACTATGTATGTACTACCTCTTCCTACACATGAACTCTTCCTCAAAAAAGAAGCTTGTAAACTAATACACAGTAAATATGTTTAAACTAGACACAGAAGTTAACGAAAGTAAGGCTAGTGGCCTTGAGAGTTGCTTTCTGAGTGACTGATGACTCAAAAGCTCTTCAAGTCAGCTACAGTTATAGCAAAATTCACAGCAAGTTCCTATCTGTAAAATGAAACTGTAATCCATCTGGGCTTGTACTTTATTTACCTACAGCAAAGTAGTTGCTTGTGATTGCTGGCAACAACAAAAAAGCAAAAAATATTGTCAGACCCCAAAAAACAAATATGAACAGTCTGGAAGATTTCCTGATTCTGTTGAGCTATCTGTTAAGTCACCACGCAACCCACATTCTTAAGCAGCAGCACATGATCCCCACCCATATTCTTGAAGTTAGCTGTCTTTAAAAACAAGCAAGTTCATTAAGCTAATGAAATTTTACTTGAAAAACAAAATCACAACTGAAAGTGGAAGATGAGGTTACATGATAATTAGGTTACAACCGCTGCTTTCATGTCTGCAGTCTTCAGCTTCTGAAACCTTTAGCTATGCAGTTAAAACTACATTTATGTAATGTATGATGACCTACAACATATTCCCTGTAACATTCATTGCAATAGGATGGTATTAAAATTACAATTCCTATCTTCACCAGCAATGTATTACTAAGGTTCATTTATCACACACCCCTACTTAGAAAAATGAATAGTTTTATCTGATCAGAAGGAGTACTCCTGTTATTTTTCCCCCCCTCTCATTGTAGAGACAAAGGAAGCAAAGTATTCCGAGGCAGGAAATAACTCTTCCTGTTCAGTGCTCAAATGTAATACGCAGATGGATACTGTAAAGAAAATACAATTTCTTTCAAGCAACATCAAAGCTTACTGTTAATAACCAATTTTAGATGCTCAGAACTGTGTCTAGCAATTAAATACTTTAAAATGTTTATAAATAGAAACACTATCTACCTAAGGATGTTTTTTTCAGAGGTTAAGCATTAATGCTTGCTTAACTTCAAAACTAATGCAACTGACATAAAAATTATTTTTGTTCCAGCGTTCAATTCCACATTATTGCTTTCTGGAAACAGAGACAAAAAATTTAGTGAGAATTCATGAAAAGCAAAGATATTGTAGCAGCGGGTAGAGTCCAAATGGAGAACGTGCCTTAAGGTTTAAAACAGCAGAAAAACTGTTGTATAAGAAGAGTCACATTTATATTCTCTCCTCAGTCAAAAAAGTCAGTTCAAAGACAAAAATCTTTGCACAAGAACAGTACCGCTCCAAAATAATATAGGTGCAAGTTAAAAATACAGTTACTCTGGTTTTTATATTAGTTATTTCATAGCATGAATTATCTCAGTTGGACGAATACTTTGTACACAAGACAGAAAACACATCCCATCAGGGAAAGAATGACACAGTATTTCATTTGTTCATATAACCATGATTAACTTCCCAACTGATATAAAAAAGTCTTTTAGAGGCCTTTGGACTTGAATTCAGGAACAATGTAATACAACAGTGGAGGCTTCACAATCTCTGTTTGTTCTCTAAAAAGCAGAAGCAACTATCTTCCTCCCATGTGACAGCTAAACCAATCTACTCTCGCCTGCACAAAGAACTCTTGTGCTTTTCCTCCACGCAGGTGGGAAAGGCCAACCAAGCCTGAAAGCTTTTACTTAGTAAACTATAGTTACCTTTTCACAGAATTTAAGTATTATGTGCATTTTTACAGAACACAGTTTCTGAAGTGCTCAAGAGAATTTCATATTTTAACTCAAGCTTGGCTAAAATATTTATTAAATATTCTTATACTGTTGGGTCTGTAGAATAAAAATATTTTTCCTGTGACTGCACAATGCTCCTGCATACTGCAGGATGTCCTCATTTTGTGGCGCTGAAGCTGCAGGGGTTTTCTTATTGTTCTTATTATGTTTTTAACCTAAAGCAAACCCCCTCATATATTCCAGGCAAGCTGAAGTTTTCCTACATGACAATGGCTAGGTCACCAGTCTCCATATCGCTCTACCTCAGCACAAAATCAAAATAATAAATCCAGAGCATATTCCACCGAGGACTTGAACCTGCAGGGTACAGAGCATTCTCATCTTCATACAGCAAAACCTACTCATGAGTCACAGTAACGATGTGCTTAAGTGACTGCCAGGTGGTGCTTTATTTGAACAGCAGTGACAAAGCTAAGGAGCAGACCAAAAAACAAACCTCGGAGAACATGCCAGTTTGGACCAGGGAGCCTGGCATTTCTCAGCAGCCCACCCCTCTGCTTCATCATGAAGCAAAGATTTTGCTCTTAAATGTTTCAGCTTTTCAGGAATCAAGCAAAAAAAAGATTAGGCTTTTTTCCAGATAAATTTTAACTCTTAAAACTTTGCCATCCCCACCCCCCCAAACAATGGCAGCATAAAGGATCTTTTAAATTATTTTTATTAGTAGTTTTAAATCAACAGACATCAGCTCCTGTACTGTTAGCGAAGAAATTCCAAATAAATTGATCCAAATTGTAATTCTGAAGCACTGAGCAAGCCTAAGAGTATGACTACAACCACTTTTTAATGCCTAAACTCAGTGGTCTGCACATTAATAACTACATTATTCACTTCGGATTATTTGCTTCACAGTCTATGAAACTAAATACAATAAGATTAATGTACGGCATACAGTAAGATTAATGTATGGCACGGAAACAGCCTATTGCAACATCTTGTGCAACAGAGGAAGCAAAACACTGTCCTTTGTTTCTGTGTCTTAATTTTGAAGACTTGCGAACAGTAACTGGAGTGTTAGATTATTAGTAACTTGCTCTCTATGGATCAATGATTCAATGTTTTAAAGCAAGGCATGCAATACATGTGTTATTTAGCAAACTACTGTGAAATACGCAAGCAAGATTTGCTTCTGAATAGCTCAGCAAATTTAATATTAATTATCTGCAAGTATTTTTCTTACAAAGGGCATATAATGGTATGCGAAAGCTGAATTGTAGCTCCAATTCATTTTCCTGTGCTTTTAACTGTTTCTAAACATTAAGATGTCTTGGCTTCCCTGCTATTTTATTTGTGCAAACAGCTTTATCCAGTAGCCACACTGGACCAGATTTTATTAGCAGCAGGAAAACAGGAAAAAGGCAAGTTCAGGAAAGAGTCAGTTCACCAAGAGAAGGGAAGCTCTGTCTGCTATCCACAAATACCCAATCACGGGGAGAAAAAAAAAAAGTTATTAGCTACTACGAGGGGTTTGTTCTGGTTTTGTTTTTTTGTTGTTGTTGTTGTTTTGGGTTTTTTGGGGTTGTTTTTTGTGGGGGTTTTTTTGGGGGTTTTTTTTTTTTTCCACATTTGTCTGAAGCAAGTTAGCAGAGGTAGCTTGCATATCAACAGTGGTCAAACTATGGGGAACCACAGAAAACATCCATGAACAAAACTGGTCACACCGCAGCTCTATCAGAACAATCAACGCATTTAACAACAGGTTGTGAGGAGAAGAGGCTGAGGTTTGATGGAAAAGCACTGAATGAGAAGGAACAAATATGGAAGAAATTACATATCCTGCTCTGTGCAAGTGCCACATATGGTCATAACCAACATAGGGGGCGAGCTTAGATGGGATGTATTGAGCTCATTTTGGTGACCTTAAGCAAGAATTAAGAATATGGGCATCCAGCTACCTGCAACCCAAGCCTCAACAGGTCCCAAACACACTGGGATAGTCAGCTGGAGCAGTGCTCAGTGTGGGGAGCAGGGACAAAAGGGTTAGCCATTCCCTGGACTGAGAAGGTCAGCTATTGGTGTTTTAGATAACTTCTTGCCACTAACAGCTCCAGTAGTGCTCGTAGTTTCATTTTTGCCGTGAAGTGTTTTTAATGACATGAAGATCAGGTAGAACTCCAGATCAAGATGGGCAAACCACGATCTGTCCTCCTGTCAGTCTCCCATTCCTTCTCCCCCTGATCCACTACTGCTGGCATCTATCATCTAACCATTTGTGTCCATCCTAACAAAGCAATAGATCAGGTATGCCACATTCTATTAAAATTAAAAACTTAACAAGGAACATTCTCAACGTGGTACTAAACTGCCACTTACAGACAGCACTGAACACAGTACTTCATAGAGACTAATGAATCTGTCTTTCTGAAACAGTTACAGGGATATTAGCCGAATGTTATGCAAGTGTGTAATTAAGTTCCATTCTTCCGTTAGAGTACCTAACAAACACAAAGGGGAAAACAATCACCATATTTCTTTTTTCTAGCTGACTTAGCTTCTCCAATAGCTCTTCACCATCTTCCCTTCAGAATAAAACAGGTTCTTTTCATCTGGCCAACACACCATCCACTGAGGCTCACAAGGAGTATCTACCGAGTGGTACTCTACATCCACTGCTCGTCTTTCACTCACATTAAAAAATTGCCACTTTCTTATGTAATTTAGATGAATGCATTCTGCATTGGAAGCACCCTTCTATTTACCTCAAATG